AAATACAACATAATTTCATTCATGATTGACTTCTTTTGTTTATTATATGATATTGACTTCCAAGTCTATGACATGTTGTTGACACACAAAAAGTGTAGTCCAAGAGATGAAACCCAATTGGGAAGGGCATGATAAAGGCTCAAATAGGACCACTGATGAATGCAGTGGAGGCCCACGAACGAAACAACATCATCGTCCAAACTTGCAAGACGCCTAGAATCTGAGCGAATGAAGTGCCTTATGATCGTCCAGAGCGATGACCCTGTTCTCGCCCAAACCTTCGAATCGCCCAAAATCTTAGCAAACATAAGATATTATGGTTATCCAGAACAGCAGTTATTGAGCAATCTTATTACACTTTAAGATTCAAGGATCTCAGTTGCAGAAGGTTGAACGACGAGAGTAATGACAATGGTTAAAGACTGCAGTTCCACGACAAGTCAGCTATCATGAAGAAAGTGGGTAAGAAAGTGGGTAGTTATAGAGCAATCATGCAGTTTCCAAACAGTTTGTCACGAAGAAATTATCAAAGAAGTATAAAAAGGAAGAGAAGACATAGAAAAAAAGACCCCAAATCAAACACTTTCAACAGAGAATATATAATTTCAATTTCTTAGTTTAACTTTAAACACTTCTTTCATTACTCGTGTGCTTGTGCCACTTGGAGGCATTCTGTTTATTTCCAATTGTAAATCATCACCAATAAAATACCCCTTTTTGAAACTTTGTCTCAAGAGGTCTGTTCCTTACACAATCGTCTGAACCTTTTTTAATTGTTAGCGATAACTCGCGCGAAACACATGTTGTTCAAGAAAATGTGCCTCTGTCTCAAAGCGCCTTCTCTTCATCGTCATTGGACATTAGTCACTGGCGTGCTATGAATTTCTAGGAAATTGTTTTGTTTTGTTTATTATATGACCGACCGATAAAGATGTAAATACTATAAAATTTGAATATTTGTTTTATTTATATCCTCTTGTGATGTAATGAAAATGATGTCCAGTCCAACCGCGTGGTTACATGAAGATGCAGTGCCCAATTTGGATGCGGTGCTCAATTTCTAGGAAACTGTTTAGTTTTGTTTAAGAAAAATGTTATTCATCCCTAATTGAGATGTATCCCCAATTTATGTGAATGTAAATGATTGGTTCAATGATATGTGAAATTAAATTATTTATTTAATTTTACCTATCATTT